AACCGCTCTCAGGGCTCTTTATCTGAAATTAAGGAGACGATATTTATGAACTGTCTACAGTGCGCCCAGCACTGTACCTATGGAGTCGCTCTTAACCCTCACAACTTTAAAAGGCAAATGTTGTTATAGCCTTGAATGGAGGAGGAAACTGAGGTCCAGGACAAGTCACATCCCCAAGTTCAGGGAGCTCGTAGTGGCGCAGCTGGAATTCAAATCCAAGTCTTTTCTCAAATATTTGTCCTGAGGATTTCCTTTTTTCTCGCTGAGAAAACGGGTGAATCAGGGAAAATAATAGGGACTGGTGGAATAATGGAACAAATGAGGTTCATAGATTTGTAAGTGACACGAGGCTGTTTACTTATTTAACAGATCATGACAATTGGCCCGAGGGAGCAGGGAACATTTCTGTTGTCAAAAGGCTGAAGGAGAATTATAAGCAGAAAGCTAAGCTCTGAACTGTGGAAGCGGGAGTGGCCTTGGACCCTGAATGTTTTAGCATCTTCTTGAGGGTGCACTTCTGAATTGTAGAAGAGCTAAAAACTTGGATAGAAAATAATCACTGCTGCATTTTTACTTATTGATTATATTTGTATAATGACTATTTCTGAAATCAATGTATTTTTATGTCCCCAGCAATGTCTTGTAAATTGTGGATAAGGAAATGTTTTTAGAAACAGAAACGAACATATTTAGAAGATTACATTGTTTGTTATATTCTAACAAAGGTCTTTTGAAAATGAAATCATTTTATATTACTAATAATTAGAAGTATCACAAACTCCTGGTTTTATTAGTTCATTGTAAAGATAGGGAATAAATCTAAACTGGCATAATTATGGTTATTACAATTAGAATCACATAATAACTTATTTTTGGAGACAAATACTTTTGACTAATAAAGCATTATGTGATTACTGATGTATAGTTTCTTTTATTCATGAAGTCCGATTTATTAGTTCAAAATAAAAATAAAGTTATCAATATAGTACTTTCTTGTTTTCCAATGCTCGATTTGTGTCTTGACTTCCTATCCAAACTATTTCCTTTTTTCCATCATCTTTTTCTTTGTTTAAAAAATATTTATTTATCTAATTCCATTTGTTATTATTATTTTAAATATTTATTTTATTTTATTTTATTTATGCATTCATTTATTTTTAGTTTGACCAGAGAGACACAGAGAGAGAAAGAGGGAAAGTGAGAAAGCAAGCCACCAGGTCTGAGATTTCAACCATGGTCAGCCATGTGGGAGTGTCCAGCATCTTAACCACCATGCCATCTGCTGGTCCCCATGTTGTTATTATTTTTTAATGTGACCAGAGACAGAAAGAAAGAGAAAGGGGAATCAAGAAAGCAAGCTGCCATGTCCAGGACTCGAACCACG